AGAAAACATCCAAACAAAGCAACGCTTATGAGTCATAAGAGTCATAAGTTATGACAAAGTTTTCAATACAGCAATCGACTTTAGTAGTTTACGTGCATTATTGCCATTAAATTTGCCATAATGGTCAAAGCAGATTCCAGCACTTTTCACCCATGCCTCCCAAATTCTGGATATTTGCTGTTTAGGGAATCAAAAAGTTTTTGTACAATGCCCAGCATAAGGTGAAGTTCTGGTGGTGGAATAAAGAACAAAACTGGGACATTTTGAACATTTGAAGTCGTTCAAAAACGTCTACATGTAAAAAACATCGATAAAAACTCGAAGCAAATACGGGCGCAATTTACAAGTTTTAACCACAAAATTAAAAATAATATTTTGTATTCAGCGGCAAGATAAAAATCGAAGCAACAAATTGTAAACTCAGGCATGTTCAATAGTCGGTATATATAGGCAAAAGAGGATTAGTTTTAATACGAATCTCACTTATACTGCCGTACTAAGCGCAGAAGCGGTAATTAACATAATGGCTGTCATGAGATATTGGTACTTTTATGTTAATAGCTCTGCCAACTCAGTTTAGTAACAGATACCGCTAAAAATAACTTGATATTTCAATCATTTACTGACAAAATACCGATTTAATACCTTATTAAAGTAGAGATTTTTAAGCCTAGTTTCATATTACGGGAAAATGTCAATTTCCTTTAAATGTGCAGTTACCGCTTCTGCGCTTAGTACGGCAGTATAGTTGGCGGCTACTTTTAACAAAAAGAAACAGAGTTTTTATGCGAGGTCAAATTTCAGTGGTCTAAACTTTACAAACCTATTTCAATAAAAAATTGATATATTATCGACAAAATTATAAAAAACCAAGAAAGAAAAAGTTTATTTTTTATGCACTTTTTATTACCTACTAAAGAAATAAATTAAAATTCATATTTTAAATATAGCAACCCAAAAAACTGAAAGTATTTAAAAAAAAACAGTTTTTTGACAAAATTTTTGACAGGTCTACATGGATGATTTTCATTTAACTTTTTTTTGAATACTTAGTTGGTAAGTATTTTTTTAAAAAATGTTTCAAAGTTGTTTTATTTTGTTCGTTGTAATTCCAGTGTTTTAAAACACATATTTTGTTTAATTTAGTTAAAACCAATTATTACAATAATCGTATCTTATTATAGATTTAACAACAATATTTTATGAAGAATAATTTAAGTTAGCACTTTGCCAAAATCCAGTTCAAAATCAATATTTTTGTGAACAATCAAAGCCCATTTTATTAGTTCATCTTCACGGTTGTTGCGAAGCAAAATTTTTTGTACCTTCAACAGACATTTCCAAATCTTGTAAAAAGAGGATTATGCAAATGGATTACCCAATATGTTTACAATTAGCTAATGCAAACTTATGACTTATTTTTACAGAGGAACAAATTTATGTAAATTGTAAATCAGTTCATAAGAGATTTTTTTTTAAATTAGTAAATACTGAAATATTCAAATAGATTCAAAGTGTACTGCATAGATACACTAAAAGTATGACTCTTTCCCACATAGATAATTTGCTATTGAAACATTAAATAATTAAGTTCCACAACTGGACATAAAAAACAAAATACAATATTTCAAAATTAAATACGCCAGTAATAATAAAATGCTTTGAGTTCAATGCATAATAGAGAATTAGTCAATTTAGCTTTATAGGTTCAAGAAAAGGAATTTTCCAACAAAATGCTTAACTAGGGACATAATAATCCTATTAATTCTTAATATTATTTTATATTGCCCTGTGTTATTTCCACGAATTAAAAAGCAAGTGAGTCAAACCACGTCAAGTGGGACCAGAAAATTTCACGAAATCTCGCGTATGTTATGTGACATTTTCTTAACAAAACTAAAGGCACGGGAAGAAGTAAACGTTGTTGGCACCGAACAATGGTAAATAAAAGACATACAATTTAAAAGTCGATGATAAAAGTAGCTATAGGCCAGAAAAGCGTAACTTTGATCAATAAACGAAAGATAGTAAAGTAAAGTAAAGTAAAGTAAAGTAAAGTTTATTCATCATCAAAAAATTACATGAATTGTCAAAATATAATATAAAAGTGTAAAAATGTATAAGAATTAAAAAATATAGAATATAAAGATAGAAGTTAAACATGCAAATTTAAAATTGTATAGAAACATAATACAAAACTGTGAACAAACAACATCAAATTACATGATTATAAAATATATTTTATATTTATTTTAAACAACTACAATTTAAAAACTCTTCAACTGAGTAGAAGGAGTGATTTAGTAGCATCTGTTTTATAGAAATTGCAAATTTCTCTGTATTTAGTTCTTTTACTTCTTTAGGTAGATGGTTATAGAATTTGGTTCCCCAGTATCCAACTTGTTGTTGCGTTTTTTTTAGCCTTTGAAAAGGGATTTGCAATGCATTTTTATTTCTTGTATTAAATCTGTGTACATCACAAGTTTTTGTAAAATTTTCCAGATTACTGTGGACATGTTTAAGGCAGGTTAGAATATAGACTGATGGAATTGTTAGGATGTGCAAAGTTTTAAAGGCTTTCCTGCAGCTTTCTTCTCGTTTCAAATTGCATAGTACTCTGACTGCTTTTTTTTGTATACCAGTATCTGAGAGTAATTGGGGAACATTCTGAACTCCTTACCCTCAACAACTTTGATTTTTTTTGATTTATTAAAAATATTTATGACGTGTTATGTATAAAATGAAAAAAAAATATTTCGTATTATTATATTAATTTAAAGTATATTTTTAAGCAAGGATTTTTCTTTTTAAAATACAAAAACTCAAAACTCAAAATTTTTAACCACCACTAAAATAAATAAATATATATTTCTTTTTCTTACTAACTCGACTCAAAATACGTTGTTTCGTCCCCGATTTCACGGCAGAAAGTTTACGTTTCTTGCATTGGTCAAGCTACACGCGCACACTCTAATAGCGGGAGTAAAAATTTTTTAGTCGTGTGCTTAACATTCAAATTTCGTACTGCCAACATGAGAAACACAAAAATATGACAGTTTTAAACCATAATTTTGCAATTATAACAACAAATAAACAATTTATGTTTTTACTTTTTTACTTTTTATGTTGTTTTAAGTGTTTAATGGTACTTTTATTTGTTATAAAGTAGTAATTTGTTAATTAAAATACAACCTTTTATTTTTACTGTATTGGCACCGCTGAATTACCATGACAACGCTACAGTTTGATTGATTTTGAATGTAAACGTCAGAATTAAATTAAACGTCAGATTTTAATTTTGACACAAGTTTTTTTATATACATTTAATTTTTTCCCGTATTTTCTGCGGGGTAGCAAGAAAAATAGGGCATCATGGCCCGCAGTGCAGGAATCTCACACTTTCTGCCCTTGTAGTGTAATATACTATTATTTTTGTCTTATTATTAGAAAATCTGATGTCAAAAATATTAGGTATATACTTTTTTATCTGAAATAAATTAAATCAAATTTATGGCTTATAAATTGCAGTTTTCATAAAAGTAATGTCGATCTTAAAGTTAGTTTATGGCTGTTGTAAACATATTTTATTTATTAGATTGAGTAAGAAGTTACTCTTTAATAAATGTATCTATAGATAAGAAAATTAAAAATAAATAATAATGACTTGAAGTAATTAATAATAGTTTTTATAGAAATTACATTAATTATACCGTTAAATTGAATTTAGATTTAGTAATTTAATTAATATTTAGAATGAGTTAAAAATAAATTATTAATTACTTCAAGTCATTATTATTTATTTTTAATTTTCTTTCAGGTAGGTTATAAATAAAAAAAATTGTAGACAGTCTCTAAAATTAAATTAGTCAAAAATGACTACAAGGTAAAAAAGCAGTCACTAATAACTGTAGTCCACAGCAATTTGTATGCCGGACATTTAACAGTCAATTATTATGTAAAATTGTCCCCTCCCAGCCAACAAAGTCAAGGTAGTGCTACTAGTAGCAGAGGGTAGCGCTACCCTCTGCTACTAGTAGCACTACCTTGACTTTGTTGGCTGGGCTGAATCCGAAAAATTATGAAAGTATAGCATATATATCTCAAAAACTGTTATACTTTTATAACTTTTGACGACATTTTCGGATTCAGCGGACAACTTTACCTAGAAGTTGACTGTTAAATGTCTAGGATACAAATTGCTGTTGATGATAACTACACTGGTCTGCAAAAAAATTTTGCTTCTCCTCATTGTTTTCATACATAATAATAATATTTGGTGCTCTAAACACGGAATTTAACATGCAAATGAATACAGCACATAGATTTTAAATATTATGTCCATTTAATAAAAAACGATATTATTAAAGTAACAACCATTACAAAAAAGTTAAAAAAAAAATACTTTGGCTTAAGTTTTACATAAACTACACATAAAATACTTAACAAAAATATATATAATATGATCTTTGTATTGTGCATTAGGTTCATTGATAAAGTCAAATTAAGGAAATTGTAAAAGTTAATATTAAACAAGTCGTGGCTGTATAATCACGGATTAAAGCCAATTAAATTAAAAAAAAAAAAAAAAGATCTTTGTACAAAACTTAGCAAAATATTTAATGTGGAACGTAAACAATTGCAATTAAAAGTTTTTAAGTGCTGTATACTATGTAGGTACTACCATCTACTACTACTGAACTACTTATTTCTCTCACGACTCGCTAAAACCTATTTAGTATGTATATACACGGTTTATAATGTTTTCGCATATAACAAACTTAAAAAAAAACTAAATTTATATTTTGGAAAGACATGGCGCGCAGAGCTTTGACGAGCTGTCGTAAATAGGCTTTAAATGTGCATTGACAATAACGGCGGTTATTTAAAGGACCTTATTTTTAAAACATAAAATGTATAAAAATAATTTGTGTTTAATGTATAATTATAAGTAATAAACAGATTTTTATTTCATTCAATAAATGTATTTTTAAATTGCTTACCGTCATCCATAATGGCGGTGGTGATGTTCTTTCCAGTGACGCCCTGCGCCCATGCAGCTTCAACATTTAAATCCAGCTTCGCTTTCCCTCCATTCTGGCCGGTATTCTTTAGATACCATTGGAATTGGAAGTAAGGATCCGTGGGGTCTTTGTGCGGTTGAATGTTGTGTACCAAGTTTTCTACTTTTAATGGCTTGTAACCCCTTTTTACTCTCACAAAGCCCGGCTGTTGAACTGCTGTGTGAATCTGAATAAAAAGAAATATGTGTAATTTTTAAGATACAATATTAAACAAGAACAAATATTTTAAATAAAAAAAAACACAATATCTATAGCCGAAACTAATTACTACAGACAAATTTAAACGCTTTTTTTGTTGGAACGTTACATCGATAATAATCGATCGATTATCAACTTTTGTTGAAACTCGCAGTTGCAAATTATATATCAATATAGAATTTTAACTATGTGAAATAATAATGTAAAAAAATATAATTTTCAATGTTATTTACTTTTTTCTTGGCGCTGCGTTCGGCCTCATTTTTCCTGCATTCGTTCTCTTAAAATAAATTAGTCAAAAATGACTAATTGTCGTAGCCAAAAAGCAGCCACTAATAGCTGCAGTCCACATAAATTTTTATCCCGGACATTTACCAGTCAACACCTATGTAAAATGACCGCTGAATTCGAAAATGTCATCAAAAAGTTATGAAAGTAGAGCAATTTTTGACATATAGTCAATTCCATATTATTTAAAAAGTTGACTATATTTTAAAAACTCATTTTCGGATTCAGCAGCACAATTTGACATATAAATTGTCTGCTAAATGTCTGAGATACAAATTGCTGTTGACAACAATTTTGCCGTACTAAGCTACACCCCCGTATCTACAATTTTAAGTATTAAAGTACAAAAGATAATTTTTATTGTTTTTTATAATGAAAATGATCTTTTGTCCTTTATAATTTAATATTATACAGGGTACGACACTTAAAATGTAGGCTGCTGCAACTACTGAACAGTTGATAACAACGTAATTATATATTGTCAACCGATAGTCTGTCAAGTTGTTAACAAGCCTGCCGGGCATAGGGTCGTACGTCGTAACTAAATAAAAAAATTTCAAATGAAATTTAAACGTAACTTATATTTGATCGAAAAATCAAAGCCAGATATTGTTCGGGAGCTTCATCATTTACGTGTGAATAAAATGTTGATCTATCAAACCATTGCGCGTTAGAATAATACAGGTAGCATAAAAAACGTCAGAAGCGGTCATAGAAAAACAGCAACATCGGCAGAAATGCGCAATACAATTAGCTGAAAATCTGAACGTGTTAGACTCAAGCATACGGCGCATACTGAAAAATGAAGTTCAATTGAAATCCTACAACAAACAAAACGTACAGGATTAAACACTACGGGCACTGAAAGTCTTGCACAAAAGGGGCGATCTTTAAAATGTTAGATTTTCAGATGAACACATTTTTACCGTTTAACAATTTGTGAAGAAACAAAATGAGCGTGTGTGTTTGGAGGACAAGTACAACGACAATTTGGACTACCGAGTTGCTATGTGTAAACAAGCGCCTGCTTTTGTGATGGTATGGGCTGCAGTAACTACAAATGGTCGTTCTCCGGTCATTTTTATCCACCAGGTTGTTAAGGTAAACCAGCAAGTGTACCAACAAAAAGTGTTAAATGATGCATTGATTTACTAGGCACGTTTGATCCAATATATTTTACAAAATCACATTTAACAGTTAATTTCTTTGAAACAGGTGCCTCCATACTTTTAAGTCAACAATAAAATGTAAATGTCTGGTAAAATTGAAACTACCGCTTCGTCGCTTGATGCCATCATCAGTGCCAAAGGTCTCCATTTCGAACAGTAACATGTATTTCATGAAATGTAATGTATTTTCATACGATTTTATAAATAATTTATATCCGTTTTATTAATTATGACGTATTTTTATAAAATTTCTTTATTTTTGATACCATATTTAATTAATTACACTAAGTAGTTATTAATTTATGTCCTTTTTATAATTAAAATAAAAAAAATCCACTGTTTTACATCTTTTTCTTTGCAATGATTGTTTCTAATGTTAATTTTTTCAACCATTTTTTCTTTTGTTTCAGTAGGTACTCTTTTATCAAAAAATGACAAACAAATTAGCTCTTCTATTTGCAAATCTATATTTTTGTAAACATGTATGAAGTTCATGAAGTGTTTTCAAATCATTTTTGGGCGCGCATGTTGCATTTGGAGCTTGGAACCAGGCAAATATGTAAACGAAATAATAAAAATACAAATTCTACGCAATGACTTATTTTCATTGTTAATGAGTTTAAATTGATCCCGAAATAAGAAAATCTTTAGAGAGTATATACACGGAAAAAAATCCCTTACTAGGTTTAAGAATAGTTCTATACTTCATGTTAGGAACTTGATTTAAGTATATTTATTATTTCTATGAGATTAGCGTACATTTAAACTAAGTAATGGGATATACTTAATTTTTAAGAAAAACTGTTACTTGATTTGAGATGAGTATTCTTGGATTGAGTTTAAAGGTATTCTATTTTAAAGAAAATTGGTATACTTAAATCAAATATACAATAATGCTTAGATGAAAGAGCTCTAGTTTTTTACTCAAAGCGGAATATTGCCACTTATTTTAAGTATTCTGTATATTTGTACGAAATTTCGGTATACTTTATTTAAATATATGTATATTTAATACAAGAACGCTTATACTTCAATTTAAGTATAAGACCTCTAGAACAAAGAATACACTATACTGTATTTAAGTATAGCTATTATTAAAACAAATACCTAATTCTTCGCTTAAGTAAATACCGCTTCGCTAAAAGAAAAGACGCAGTTTCTGTGTTCAGTTCTGTCCTGTGTTCTACGGTGGTAGCGTGTGTACGTGTCGGCGCCGGCAGCTCGTTTTTTCCTTTTTAGGTCTGGATGTTATTTTTAATAAAAAATAATGGAGAAGAAACTTAAAAATTGGGACTTAGAATGTTTACTAGACACATTTTTTGGTAAGTAAATAATATTTCATTAATTTAAAGTAATTAACTAGGCATGATCGTAAAAATGTAGTGTAAAATGGATAGGTATACTGTAGTGCAAAATGGATAGCATACGACAGGTAATAGACAATATCACATAAACAGCAGAAAGGCTATAGCCTCCAATTCAGCTATATTATTTTTGTTTTAGAAAACGAGATAGATCTCGATATTATGGTAAACTTAAGCGAGGAGAATTTAAAGGAATTAATTCCCAAAATAGGATTGAGGATCAAGTATAGAGAAAAAATTGAAGAATTAACACCAAACCATCTACGATGATAATGGTAGCCTTCTTAGAGACTCATTTTACAAATTATTTAGCTGGAGATATATTTTACTGACAATAAAAATACCTACTTAAAAAAATAATAACTATTGTGATTAAAAACCTTACCTTTACATATAGCACCAAAAATGTGATACCTAGGTAATGAATTTATATAAATTGACAGTACTTTTTCTAATACCTCTAAGACTGTTAGGTAATAAACCTATTGTGATATCAGTGCCTATTATACTTATTAGTACTTTAGTACATTAAAATAATTAAAATAATATGCCAAAAATACTGTTAAATTACTGTCATAACAATTATATTTTCACTTTCACTTGTATTTTCCGTAGTGGTATGATAATTAATACAAATATTTTTCAGGGTCACGAATGTTTTTTTTTGTAAAAATTATTCCGAGTCGCTAGACGAGGGAATTTTTTTTCCTAATCAACCACTTTCTTTAAGAATAGTGTAAAGTTATTTTAAATATATACTATACTTTTATCAAATATAAAAAAAGGAAAAGTAAGAATACAAGCATTTTATGCAAGTAAAGCGTGTACTTACAATAAGTATAAATAAATAAACAAGAAAACCGTAGTCTTCATTGAAGACAAATTTGTATACTTAACTCAGAATTAGTGTGTTTCTTATTTTTAGTATAGCAGTAATCTTAGATTAAACCGAAGCTATCTTTATTTTATAAGAATATGAGGATACTTGAAACAAGTATAAATTTACTTGCGGAATAGGGAAACTAAGCTATACTTGGATAGAGTTGAATTTACTTGGAATCAGTATAGATTTTTTTCCGTGTAGCTTTGTTCATCCATCTGCTACGCTTTTGAATTAAGTAAATAATAATATATATATATATGTATATTAGGGTGCTTCAAAAAAATTTTTTTTCGCTCTTACCCCCTCAAATTTTTTTATTTAATATAAAAAAAATCCTCACCAAATATGGGCGTTCCAGCTCAACTCTAAGAGGTCGCTGTTTTTATTTTAGTTTCCCATTGAATTAACATGGGAAAAAATTAATTTAAGTTTCTTATATAAAATTTAACGCTCTACAAAAAAGGTCTCTTATTATTTTTCGATAAATTGATTATTTCTAGAGTTATTCGAGGTCAAAGTTTGATTAACATTAAATTTTCTGTTTTTTTAATTTTATGGTACAATTAGCAGACGGGAGGTGAAAGGGGGCAAAACAAGGCAGCGTTGCCCCCCCCACCGCTGGGGCACCCAAAAAGTTTCGTAAATTTTTTGTTTTATTGTTTTTTTCGGTTTCTAAATCATTTGAAAATATATTTACTCACCAAGAAAAAGGATGGTACAATTTTGGAAAACTTTTCATATGCTCATTTTTTGGGTACCCCATTTTGCCCTTCCCCCCGCTGCCTTGTTTTGCCCCCTTCCACCTCAAGTCTGCTAATTGTACCATAAAATTAAAAAAACAGAAAATTTGATGTTAATCAAACTTTGACCTCGAATAACTCTAGAAGATAATAATAATTATTATTGTGGTATGTCAATTTAGCAACATCTAGACAGAATCAAATAATTTTGGTATCAAAATTTGAGAATTGTTGTATGTCAATAATTTTAATAAAATTTAAATTTCTGCTTAAGCCATATCAATGCAGTGAATAATTTTGTAGTTAACGTTATTTTATTTTTCTTGTAAAAAGGACCTAATTTAATAACTACCTAGTGTAATTAATTAAATATTGTATCAAAAATAAAGAAATATTATAAAAATACGTCATAATTAATAAAACGGATATAAATTATTTATAAAATCGTTTGAAAATGGGAAAAATCTAAATTACTTAATTATTTTTAGGTTATATTTTATATAAATCAAATAAAATATTTCTTT